TAGTAGTAGTAGTAGTAGTAGTAGTAGTAGTAGTAGTAGTAGTAGTAATAGTGGTAATGGTAGTGGTAGTAGTGGTAGTGGTAGTGGTAGTCGTAGTCGTAGTAGTAGTCGTAGTAGTAGTAGTAGGAGTCGCCGTCGTAGTCGTAGAATGTCGTAGAAGAGATATAAACAAGGCTAGAAAGGGCAGCAGTAGCAGAACAATATAGAACAATAATAAAGTTAGATTTTTCCTCAGGGCCCCAAGATTGCATATTAATCCCACCCCCTAAACAATTCGTCTTATTCACTTACCCTGGGCTGGTGTACTACCCCCTTAAAAAATATTGTTTGGAGCAATAAAATCGTTGAGTTTTATTAATAAGCGTTTTTGAAAACGATTTCCAGGTTGGAATTCCATGAATCAAGCAAACCTTAGAAGAGTTAAGTACGGATTTCAAAGGGCAGCAATAGCAAAACAATAATAAAGTTAGCATATTTTCCATTAGGGCTCCAAGCTTGCATATTAATCCCACCCCCTAAACAATTCGTATTATTCACTTACCCTGGGCTGGTGTACTACCCCCTTGAAAAATTGTTTGGAGCAATGAAATCGTTGAGTTTTAATAGGCGTTTTTGAAAACAATTTTCAGGTCATAATTCCATGAATCAAGCAAACCTCAGGAGAGTTAAGTAAGGAAGTTAAAGGGTGAGCAATAGCAGAACAATAGAAAAACAAACAAACTTCAAAAAAGAACTGGGAGAAACACTTCTTATTTTTCCGACCCATCAAACTAATCAGGGTGTATAAATAATTTGGCGAATTTTTTTTATTCCGTCCCATTATACTAATTTCGATTCAACATTAATTATATACCTATTCCCTACACCTCCAGTCGTACCTCCTCACAAGGTATGACTGGACCCTCCTGGCACCGCCCCGGTCCTCCCACCTTCTCAGAATCGCAGGGTTCGGAACGAAAACGGAGGCCTACCGGGCTTGTAGCCCCGGGTCATCCGGGTCACCTCGGAGCCACATTTCCATCCCTAGTAGAAACAAGTGCCACGCTAGTAGAAACAGGTGCCTTACTAGTAGTAACAAGAAGCTATTAGAAACAAGTGCCTCGCTTCTAGTAACAAGTGCAAAAAAAGCAGGTAACAAGTTCCATCCCTAGGGATCCGTTTTCGTTCCGAACCTCAGGTTCGGTACGACGAATGACCCGACGTTTTGACGTTTTGGCACCTACATGTCTCAGTGTGGAACACATCACCGTACCTGAGGTACGGAACGACTGGATCCCTAGGGCATTAGGGCATGCGCATGTATCAAACATAGCCTACATTGACCCCAGGTCAACCACACCAAGTGATCGGCAAATAGGCCAATCCCAGAAGAGACGTGTTTGGGATTGTTTGGGTAAGGTCTTTCAACCGTCAACCCAATCACTAACTCACTCTGAAAAACCAGTGGGTTGTGGAGCAACATTGTCTTCCACCGGGTAAGTTTCTAATACTTCCATCCCTAGGGATCCAAGTACCTTCTCAGAAGGTACTTGGACCCTCAAAACCTACATCAGAATCAGAGTGTCTCCAATCACCTTCTGAGAAGGTACTTGGATCCCTGGGGCATGGGAGTTTGCTTGGATATTTACCAATCACTCCATGTGAGAATCTTGGGATAATCCGTGCCCCGCGTCTGGCCGACTGAGGCACATTGGTAGACGAGACAGTCCGCTTCGCTGACTGTCTGATGGGGAAGCCAATTGAAGAGAATCTTATTAATCACGTGCCTCCATGCTTGTCAGCAGGGTGTGTATCTACTACTCTTCAGCATGATTCTTTGTGACTCGTTGACTTGTTGGAAGGATGTTCTGCAAGATCGGGGCACGTGTGGGGGATTCTGGGGAATCCTGGTAGTTGGAAGATTTCGTCTTCCGTGGCAGCAGAGATTGGCAGGATGTGTCGCATCGGAAAAGTGGGGGTGTTGGTTCGAACGCTGCATGCCGTGGATGTGCTCACATGTGGCGTATACCCAGGACATCTTCAATCTATGTCTATGTGTGTGTGTGTTGGGTGATTCCACTCTTCTGGAGCTATTGCAGCTGCGACCAGCTGAACAACTTGAGATCATTTTGGATCCGATCTGACCGGGAACTGGGTGCTGATCTGCGGGTCCAGGACCCTACCGGAACCGCCTTCGGTTCGCGACCGGGACCGGGGGCCGTCAGGGCCTTCAATGGGAATGGGCGCATGCTTTGCTCTCGCCGGGCGGCCCGGGCAACCGGGTTGGGGCGCGTGGTGGTGCTAGAAGTCCGGGCTCAGATCTGTATAGCAAGAGATGAAGAAGAACAGGAGGTAGATAGTAACACTATGAACATATGAGACCTGGACCTCGTTCTATACAGTACCTCTATGACCTCATTCTGCTGGTGTAGTAAAAAGTACTCTTTGGACTCTGAACATGAATCATATGAGTTACAGTACTCAGGTTTGACTGGACCTGGGTCAGACCTGGGTTGACCCTTGCAGTTGACACTTGAAGCATGAAAAACACCTTCAAAGCAAAAAAAAGGACCTCACCAGGCCCCCCTAAGGGGTGTCCGATTATAGCATCCATTAACCACCCCTTAGGGGCCCTGGCATACAAATATATGAATTTATGAGCAAGCGCGGTGAAGGTGAGACTATGGACCACCCATATGGAGGAGACGATGAGACAACGATGAAGTGCTTCCATATACATCCACTACCTTTGTCAATGTTGCTGTATGGTGAAAGCCGAACCCACCTAAACCATTGATATCCTTGGTATAGAGCCGAGCGTATGTATTTCTTCGCACAGTACCAAACATGCCGTGCAGCACATCATGCCGGCAGGGCTGTTCAAGAAGCTTCAGCGGCAGGAATAGCCCTGCTCCATTGAACTCCAGCATCATCGTGATGTGTTGCCCGTGTAGGAGTGATGGCTTAGTGACTTTGTCTCGTATGATCAATACCACTAGCCCTATAGGGATCCACTGCCACCGAGCCTCAGAAGGTACTTGGACCCTTGAGACGTACATAGTGTCTCCGTCCTCACTGTACCTGAGAAGGTACGACTAGATTGCTAGGGAGATGTTCTATAGAAATTTGATTAGAGGGTCGGTTATTGTGATCTTTGTTTTGAGGGGGAGGAAGGTGAAGGGTAGTAGGGGTATCACACATCCCACAAAACTACAGCAAGGAATTGTACTGATCAGGGTGATTAAGGGTGTCAATGTATGTGAAGCGTCCAGTCACAAAGGATGGGCAGGAATTCATCCACCCTCGACTTCCTCCACTTCCTCCACTGCCTGGCACCTCTCGCCACGCCAGACGCGTGACATCCTGGACTTTGCGGCGCGATGCATTGAGCGCCTCCGTGGCCCTCAGCAGCTTGAACCAGGTGCGGTGGGAAGCAGGTGAGAGCTCAACAACACCCTATAGAAGTGCCATGAATCAGAAATGTAAGGGAACATCAGCCGCAAGTTGTCTGATGAGTTGTTCAGAGCCGGTGTAGAAGGTGACCTGTTGCGGACCACCACACTACCACACTACCAGCTCCATTACTAGACTGGGAGCCCATTGGAGGTTGCCAAGTTTTAATAGGGAACCCGCCCCACCAATGGGTGTAGTGGTCTATTTTCCGAACCTTCCAAGGGGGTCGAACTCGGGGTTCTCCCTATTCTGATTCCTGAGGGATCCACATACCTTCTGAGGTTGGGTATGACTTGACCCGACATTTTGGCACCGGCACATAACAGTGTCTTGCTGCTCACCTTCTCAGAAGGTGCTTGCCCTATATAGGGCTCCAACCATATCCTCAGGTTCGGTGGTTAGACACCCCCGGGCACCCACCCCAACCATCTTCTCAGGAGGTAGGAGCCCTAGGGTTGGATCCACACTTACATCAACAAGTTTGGCATCGATGCGGTGCCAGGCTCGTTGGCATTCAGCTTTGGATGGCCTGGCTCAGGCAAGTGGTGTTTTTCGTGGCAGGGCGAGTGGTGTCCCATCAGTATTTGCCTGGACCATCGATGGGAATGGCCCATATAACTATACATGGAATGGGGTGGAAAAGTGGTCAAGATGGTCAAGATGGTATCCTGGACCTGCCAAGTCCGGTGTCCCGGGGACGAAGGACTGAGCTACAGGGAGATCCCTCAAGCCGCCCCCGAACCTGGCACCCGGGGGCCCCCGGTCGTCCCAAACGGTTACCGGTAAGCGGTTCGGTACCGACCAACGAAGGCCAGTCACGGGTGCTTGCTACGTTTGGGGATACTGGTCACCCACCCAGTAGAACTGCACAGGCTCAGCGTGGCGTACTTGGGAGGCGTACTTGGGATACCGTACCGGTACGGTGTATGCAAGATGTGTTGGTGATGGAGGGATGGTATGAAGATGTGTAACACTATGCATGTTATGGATTGTTATGGTCCATCAATTCCCAGATGCAGCATGGGACTGGAAAATATGCCGCCCCATAGATCCCTTTTCACCATGCTCGCATTGACCAGGATCACGGATGACACTCCCTGAACCGATCATGGGATATAGATGGCATGGCGCCCCGATTTTGGATGACCATTTTCCTCTACAAAGAGGTTTCCATGTTTTTCCATTTCTATCAGACTATTTTCGGGGAGTGCTTTCTGGTGTTCCTGATGTCAAATTCTTCATGAAAGGCCCGACATCCGAGCCAGTAGGTAGACTGGTCGGGCTGGTCTTCTTCCAGAGTAGTCCAACGGCAGGGTCATCCAGCCATCCTTTTTCGCTTTCAGAGCCATAGGGATCCACTGCCACCTTCTCAGACTTGGACTTGGACCGTCCAAACCGACATAACAGTGTCTCCGTCCTCACCTTCACCTCAGGTTCGGTTTCGAAAACGGATCCCGAGGTCCTATCGCTGAGTGTCCATCCGATCGGAGGAATCCGGAGGGGTCTGGGTTTGGACCAGCTCTGAACGCACCATCTGGGCACACCCAATGCTTCGATCTCACATTGTAGGAGACTTCTCGTGGGCTCGAGACTGCACCTCGGACGGAACGACTGCACCGAGCTTGCGGTCGGGAGAGAGGGGAGATGCCGCGAAGAGGGGCGAAGACTTGTTGGACTCGAGGTGGTGGCCGATTGGGTGGCGAAAACGGGCATGGTGAGTCCCCTGACATGGGGAATGTATAGTGGCGTTTCGTTTCCCAGATCCTGGGACTGGAGAGGTTGAACATGGTGGAACAAAGAAGCCAGGGATTGAGTCAACAAGCCTGGAGTCGTGTCTAACAGCCAAGCAGCTAAGCTCATCTTGGGTGGTGTGCTTTGCACTTAGGACATGCCAAACCCTCGTGGCAGCTACATAACAGTCTCCAATCACCACCTCAGAGGGTATGTGGAGCAGGGGCGATGAAGTGGAAAGAAGGGTTTTGCGGGCTGCAAACTGAAACACGCCGGTGCTTCCAAAACATATTTACCAGGAGTCACAGAGCTCGGGGTGGTGTGGCTCGTCCCCAAGTGAGTGGAGTAGCTGGGGACCCCGACTACCTCGATAGATCGCACCCCGACATGTGACTCCTGGTAAAAGAGAGTTAAACTGGGAAGTGGACTTTTCCCAGACACTCCATGTCATAGATGGGGGTCTAAGTGACCCCTTTTTTTGACCACCCCAACTGATTGGTACATATATATATATACCAGTCCCATGGAGTGTTTGACTTTTGTTATATCTCTCAAAAGGCTCAGGAAGGACCAACCCAGGACCAACCCGAGGCTTTTGGCCGCTCACAACTTCGGGTTTTTGTGGGGAGGGAACCAAGGATGTAAGAAAAACCGCTGCCAACCACTCCAAACAGCCGACCTGCCACTCCAAAATGCCGACCTGCTGGAGGACATTCACCCGAAAAAGAGCTCACAGTACAGCTCACTCCATCCCATTTTTTCGGGGTTTGGGGCGGTTTTCAGGTGTCGATGACTCGGTTTTTCGGAGGACTCTTGTGGGAGCTTCGGCTCCCGGGTCTAAGGAGCTGCCCATCCACCATGTTCATAGCCCTAAAAAATCCCTGGCACATACATGACAGTGTCCAACAGTCCTCACCGAACCTGAGAAGGTACGAAACTGGATCCCGGGATAGCTCATTCCTGGGTCTCCGCCTTCTTTTCCTCCTCACGGTCACAGTTCGAAGCGGTCACAGGAACTCGTCCCGCGGGTGTTCGACCACAAAAAGCATCCAACCAAGGAAGTTTCCTGCATCCAACACTCCCATCCCAATACTCACCCTGGCTTGTGTTTATCTGCCGTCCCCGTCCCCATCCCCCTCTTGTTCGACGGTTCGTGTGCATGAGGCCATCGCGCGCAACGCAGTCCTGGGGATCCTCGTCCGGGGGACCCGGTACTGGGGTCATGACCCAGGGAGGGTGATGCGGGTGGGTCGTCGGTTGGGGAGGGGGAGAAAAATGGGGGACAACCCACTGAACAACTAAGAAGAGTCTAGAGTCATCTAGAGTCTATATATGTTCTATACGGAAACTGAGCGAGTCAGCTAACAATTTTATAGAGTGATGATGAGTGATGGTTTCAGGTGAGCAGTATGACTACACAAATCGTAATCCGTCGAGTTAGGATTATACTACCCCAAGAATCCTCGGACTTTCCATAGCAGGACCCAACATCTTCACAGGGGTCCGGACTCGAACCAAGCCGAACCCTTTCCATTGGAGAAAGGGCCCGGATTCTTAACCCTTGAAATGACTACTACCGATAGGGCTCCAGTCGTACCTCCTGAGAAGGTGGGACTGGGGTGGGTGC